CCCCAAAACCCCAAAACCCCAAAACCCCTCAATGAATATTAAGTAAGAAAATTGAGTTATTGAAATTAAGTAAAGTAGTAATTCTCTTTAGTATTAAGTATTGTGGCATTTCAATAAGTAATAAAATTAAATTTTCCAAATTCAAATCAATCTCAAATATTAGTTTTGAGATAGAAGTTTATTTTATCAATCACTTCATTTATTTGAGTTTTGTCATCTTTGGCTTTATTTCTATGAGTGTTACTTGCTGTGAATCTATAAGATTTCTTAGTAACATTATCATCCCAAATCTGTGCTCTTCTATCGTTTGGTATATTGATATGCAGTGGAACTTTGTCAGATGGCTTATCTTACTAAAAGTTTTTCCTCCTACTTTACTATGAAAGTATTTTCATTTAATTGATCTATTAAAGAATCTAATCTCTTCGGAATTAAGTCTCAGAAGAGTTTTATTTCAGATTTTTATATTCCTCAAAAAGTTATCTCATTTACTCACTTAAAACAGTATTCTTTTCTTTTGCTTGTGGAAGAAGATTTTCAATAGAAAAATATTTTTAGAGTCTATTCTAAGATGATTCTGTGCATGGTCTATATACACTGACATGCTTAATCTTACCCTCATTGCTTCGATACATTATCTGCCTATGATCATTATCTATTTTCACGAATTTCAATTTTATTTCCTCTTGTAGGCGCCTCTTTTCCTCATCTAGTTCCTTCATCTAATCTTCTATAAGCTTTTTTTCTCTATCATTAATACTCATAAACTTCAATTAGCTTTATTTAACTCTTTCTTCTTTCGCAATCTATCGCTCTCTCTTCTTTTTTTCCTTTTCTTATTCAACTTTCTCTTCTTTATCTCATCTGTAATCTTTTAGAAACTCTTTAAGCTTATTTTTTATATATCTTTGATAATTTTTCTTTTCTTAGACTATATTTACAGCTGATAGTTGCTCTAGATTGACATTTATAACTGCTGGCTATTGTAGTGCTTTGCCAGGCTTTATATTGGAAACTGTTTCGAACTTAAAAGTATGTCTGAGTGATTTCGGATGCATTATCAGATTTGGATGCTTTACAGAGAAAGCAGTTGCAGTTATTTTTTATTTGCCAGCATAAGGCTTTCCAAGAAGATTCTAACTTGTGAATGATTGCTTCAAGCTCTTGGTATTAGTTTTGTTGTTTGTATCTAGTAAAGAACTCTTAATATTGTTTTCATTAAACTACGTAAGAATGCTTTATCTATCAACTGTTTAAAATAAGGAAGGATTTCTTGTTCCAAAAGATTTCAACTTGGCACTTTCATCCTAAGTGGGTAACTCAATATGTGAAGAACGGAATTTTTAAAGTGTAAGTGATGCCATCATTTGCTAGGATTTCACATATTCTACTGAGGATCTTTTATTTTTTATCGAGGGAGAACTTGCTCCACTAGATCCATTATTCAGATAGCCTTTAGTGCGCGTTTAGCCATATAGTGTTTCCTTGAGGGAAGTTATATGCTAAGGTAAAGCATAATCATACAACATTTTATGATTATTTAATTTATTGAATATCAATTTATACTCAACTATCATAATTGATTATTGAGCAGGTTGGGGTTTTGGGGTTTTGGGG